TATATATATATATATATCGAGAAAGAAATAATTAAAAGTACGATTTATAAATTCAAATCAAATATTTTGTATTATACTATTCATTATACATTAAAAAATTAATAAATAAGATATATTATTCTCATAACTAATGCAAAAATATGTGACAAAAAACACTTTTAAGAAAAAACTACTTATTTATGTCAACCACTTTGGCCAAGTGGTTGACATTTTTATCATTCAACCACTCTGTCCTGAGTTCAAGATCTTAACATATGTACCGAGCGTGCATTTGGTTGTGTTTGAAATTTTTTAAAAAAACTGCTTATTATAATAGCCTATTATTTTATGTAGAGTATCACAAGTATGAAAGATCATTATAATTTTATATTTATCTATAAAATTATTATATAATGAAAAAAAATTATTATGATAATCCTTTTGATATACATAAATATCATAATGTTTTCATACCTTAAATTTTATAGGAAATACATTCATGAACTTATAGATAAGCATAGATTAAAGCAATGCAATTTCATATCATTTTAGATATAATAAAAAAAAAAAAACTTTTTAAAATCTATCTTACCAAAAGTTAGGCCATGGGATCACTAACCTTATTGGTTAAGAAATATCACAACGTATGTGTACGCATGCGCGCACGCAATAAACCATACATGGACATGAACACATAGAATTAGGAATGCCATAGATGAACTTTTATGTATGATGTGAATGAGATAATTTGTATATAACGTGTGGTATGATTATTTTATTGGTGGAATGTAATTTAATTTTAAGAGCCTATGTTTATAATATGGGTATAATAATGTGCAAGAAAACATAAAATATAAGAAGTTTTATTATAAAAATTTGCATAAACATAAAAGCTTAGAGAACTAGAAAAAATATAATGTATTTCGTAGGGATTCTAAAAGAACAATTTGTTAAGAATTCAATTGTTAGTGATATTGATAAAATATTAGATACTAAAGATAGTAAATAATATATGTATAAACTAGCCAAATAAAGAGAAAATAAAAATAAAAATTAAATTCACTTAAAGTATATAAAAGATGAAAATAAAAAAGTGTTTAGAGGAAAATATTCAACATATATGGATAAAATATTGTGATAAACTTTTCAATAAAGTTCCTGAAATATGTTTAACCTTAGTGATCTTAATATTGTTGATAAAAATAAAGCTTTTTATTTTCATTGTTGCATTAGAAAAAAAATTGAGCATAATTTAAAGAAAACCAATAATGGAAAATCAGTAGAACCTGATGAAACTCCAATTAAAATGTGAAAATATTTAGAAAATTTTAGAGTTTCTTGACTTATTAAAATTGTTAATATTATTTTAAAAACTAAAAAGATGTCTGAAGAGTGAGGGAAGAGTATTTTGGTCCCATTTTTAAGAATAAAGAAAATGCATAAGAGTGTGCAAATTATAGAGACAAATTATAGAGAAATTAAGTGCAAATTATAGAGAAATTAAGATAATGTGTCATACATTAATATTATAGGAGTGATTAATTGAACGTAAATTAAAACGTGAAACAAAGTTTGGATTTATTTCGGACAAGTCTAATATGGAAGTTGTACATTTATTGAGAGGTCTGATAGAGAAGTGGAGGGAGAGTAATAAGGATCTACATATGATTTTCATTGATTTAGAAAAAAACATGTGATAAAGTTTCAAGAGAAGTTCTTTGAGGTGTTCTAGAAAAGATAGGCATTGATAAGATATATATTCAAGTCATTAAAGATATGTACACTACACTAGAGATGTTACTTGTGTTGGAACAGAAAGAGGATTGTCCACGAATTTTTCTGTTTCGCGTGGATTACATCAAGGGTCGAATTTAAGCTCATATCTTTTTGCTTTAGTTAGAATGCTCTTAATGGACATTTATAGGAGGATGTACTTTGTTGTATGCTTTTCGTTGATGATATCCTTCTTGTGGATACAATTGGAGAAAGTTTAAGAAAAAACTTGAATAATTGAGGTTAACATTAGAGTCTAAAGGCCTTCGTTTGAGTAGATATAAAAACTGAATACATAGAATGTAACTTAAGTAGTAGTAGATTGAGTGGCAAGAGTTCTAACTACGGGTGATCGAATCATTAAAAGGATTAAACGTTTTAGATATTTCGAATTTATTGTTCAATATGATGGTGATATAGATGGGGATGTTATTAGTAGAATTCAAGTTGGTTGGTTGAAGTGGAGGAATGCATCCGGCCTATTGTGTGATAGAAAAATACCTCTTAAGACTTAAAGGAAAATTTATAATATGGTGGTGAGACATGCAATGCTTTATGGCATAGAATGTTGGCCTTTAAAATAAAAGCTTAAAGCTAAGTGTTGTTGAGATGAGAATGCTTAGGTGGATGAGTAGCTTGACACTTGAGATGAAATCCAAAACGAATGTATAAGTGAAAAGATTGTTGTCTCTCTAATGACAGACAAGTTTAGACAAAATTGTCTTAGATGGTTTTGTTACATTAAAAGCCGACCATCTGATGATCCAGTTTGGGGAATAGATGTTTTAGATTCGACTTGTGTTAATAAAGACAGAGGTAGACCTAAAAAGACTTGGGAAAATCATATAAAAAAATTAGAATTAAATGAAAATATGACACTCAATTGGACGTAATGAAGAAAAAAGGATTCATGCAGCCGACCCCACTTAGTGGGATAAAAGCTTGTTGTTGATGTTGTGTGCTTAAAATATGGGTATGAATAAGTTTTGTAGTCATGTTATGATAGATCTTGATTTTTGTTTACTATGTGCTTTATAATATGAGTTCAGTCGGTATTTGTGACCAAATTCACTCAATGTGTTGTGTTGTATATTTTCATATATTCAATGCACTATATCTTTTTATCCAAATAATATAAGTCACCCTATCATTTACATCAATGAGAAGATGAATCGATGAAGGGCGGGGATGGGGATGCAGAAAGGTTAAATTGCATGGATTGTTTGAGATAGCTGAGAAGCCAAGCCTTAGTTGTTACAACCATGTGTGCATGAGGGTTGTTATGTGTTGAGAATTGTGTACTAATGAACACAAATGTGGTTTTAATATTTTGTTACAACTTTCATGTTTCTCTTAATCCTCAGCGTTTGGATTGAAGAGACGATAGATGGAGTCATCAACAATAACAACAACAAGTCTTTCTCCCACGAAGTGGGGTCGGCTGTATTAATTCTTTTTCTCCATTGCATCCTATTGAGTATCATATTTTCATTTAATTCTAATAAATAACATAAATGGAGTCATGAGACATTCAAATCCACAATGTTTTTAAAGTATAACTTTGTTCACATTATTTGGAATGAAATACATGGGATGTTGATGATAACTATGAAGGCATGGTTTCTATGGGAGAAATGCACGGGAAAAATTGATCTTTAAAATGATTTTTGTATATCAAATCAATCATAATTTTTAAATATTTGATGAATGAATAAATCATTATGAGAATTGATAAAACTCGAATATAACATGCAAGGCTTATGATGTAGATCACAACCAATGATGTGATTTTGGAGAGGAGGAAAAAAAAAGTGAACAAAAAAACTAGTGTCCTCTAAAGAATTTTAAATGTACCAGAGAATTTTGCTTCAATAAATGCAGTATACAAACTAAAGCTGATTGTTCAATAATTACTCAATATCTGTGGAAAACAAATTACTATATTTAGGAAAATTACAACATTTAAAATTTATATCAAGTTCTAATAACATTCATATGGAAAACTTCATTTCCTAATGTTTTTCCTATCTAATACCAATTTGCCTGCAAGAGAAATGCTCCTTTGGCTTAAAAAATTAATTAATTACGGAGATTTACATACATACCACCCAATTTCTATGTATTTACATATCTAACACCTAAACTTCTATTTCTACATACATACCACCTTAATCATGCATAAAAAGGTATACTTCACTTTTTTAGAAGTTAAAATGATGGTTTTTTCTTGATGTGGTATGGAAGATTTGGGTGGTATAAATGTAAAAGGAAAAGTATAGGTGCTAGATATGTATATGTAAATACATATGAATTGGCTGGTAGGTATGTCAATGTCCCAGAAATAAAAACATAACATAATGCTAGAAAAAGAAATATAAAGGCAGATACATAAATAAAGTTAAATAAATTTAAAATTATCTTGGAAGACAATAAGGCAAATGAACCTTCAAAAAAGGGGCATTTACTGAAATCTCAACAGTATCCCCATGTCTGATTGGAAAGAATGCATGTGAACCATCAATATATATAGTCCCATCTTTACCAGACCATGAGATATGCATATACTGATCAGACTTGAGCACACTATGCATTAAAGGAACATCTACAGCTCTAGGTGAAATGGGTTCTCTCACCATGAATTGAAGCTCATTACTAGATATTGGCATGGGAAATCCTCCAGCTGATAGCATGGCTGCAGTCGATCCGGCTGCCGTGCATATTCGGAGGCCGCTCGATCGGCAATGAACCAAAGACGAGCCCTTTTGATCATTACATTTGATCCTGGAATCACAAATCAATGAAATCTATCAACATGGATGAAAATTTAAGAGGCGGTTTGGGATCACTGCTGTTTTATATTTTCTAGTTTTTTAATTTAATTTTTTGTTTTATTTATGTTTTGATTTGAATTGAATCATGCTTGATGTGTTTGATTAATTTTTAAAGTACTCAAAACATGCTAATATATTTTCAGAGATAGAAAATTAAAACAGGTAAAAAACACCCTAAACGAACCTGTTTAAAAAATAAATAAATAGAATAAAAACAAGAACAAAAAATAAAAGGGGATATTTACATACATACCACACAATTTCTATGTATATACATATTTAACACCTAAATTTTGATTTTTATATTTACACCACCCAAATCTTCCAAAACAAAATTCATCCCAAACAAAGCCCTAATGAATCTAAGGGAAGAATCTTTTGGAATTTTTAATAATGGAGTACCGAAATGAGAATCGCGACACGGTTGCAGGGCAAGGATGCGAGATCAAGATGTCGTTCAGAGCAAATGTTGGCAATATCTTATCATTTAACTTGGTTGAGATCCTTGCTAGTTCAAAGGGCTTATTCTTCCCTTCAAGAACTTCTTCTAAAATCTGAAAGATATATATATAAGGAGACAATTTAAAGAAATAAAATAAAATAAAAAAGAGTTGAAAGGATGTTTAATTACCTGCTCAAAATTTCTCATGGTTGCAGCACAGAGGTAACCAGTGCTTCTAGTTGCATCAAATTCGTCACATAACTGGCCGACCTGCATACAGATGGTTAGGGATTCAGCCATGGAAATTTAAAAAAATAACAAAAAAGGTGGCAATTACATACATACCACCCAATTCCTATATATTTACATATCTAACACGTGAATTTTGCTTTTTACCATTCCACCACCCAAATTTTTTATATCACATAAAAATGCCACTATTTTAACTTTTAAAAACTGTAATACACATTTTTGCGCATGGGTAAGATGCCATATATGTAAGACATGAAGTTTGGGTGTTAGATATGCAAATGCACAAGAATTGAGTGGTATGTACCAAAATCTTCCAAAACAAGATAGATGGAAAAGGTTCAGGCAGGGGAAAAAAGAAGATAATTAAGATAATAACGAGAGTGAAATGCTAACTTCTTCGGGTTGTGTTGGGTCTGAATTGACTCCAAGAACCGGAATGGAATTATCAATTAAGTGGCTAGCTTGCAAAAGAGTTCCATCGCCACCAACTGTGACCACGAGATCCACCCCACGAATTGGTTGTGAAATATTGTTTCTGAATAAAGGTTCCCAATCAAGGTTTTTACGTCTAAGCACATCCTGGCAAAATTTAATACCTTCGTTGTGGACTCTACAGCGGTCGTCCAGATGATTTAAGATCTGCTGGGTTGGCAGGGAGAAAATTAGCTTCACAAATATATGAGCTATGCACAGCAAACAAATAGGATATAATAGCGATTATTTACTCAAAGCTCATGTAAAGGAACCCCTATCCGCGAGTTATGTAAGATAAAAGATTTGATTGTTGGATTTGATTATGATTCATGGGCTTCTTACCAGCGGAGTTGTTCCCAGTTTAAGTTGGGATGCGAATTACATTCATTGGGAGGTCAAAGTTTTATTTTAATAGGTTTGATGGTTTTGTGTCAGCCCAAGTTAATGATTATGGAGCTTGCATCCAATGGAAGACACATAGATGGGACTTGCAACCCGTAAAGATGATGATCCCCAAAAGAAAATAAAACGTCTAAATTGTCATTTTGAGTTCGACAAAAGTAATAGGACTTACAACTCTATTTGTTTAGGAAACCTGATTGTAGTCTAGTGTAAGTTCTATTGCCTTGAATTTGAAGCGGCCAATGTTGGTGTTGAGGTAAATATACATATATTAAAATTAATATTTAATGCTACTAAGTTTAATTAAAATTGACTAAGGTCAATTTAAAATTGGGGCATTTTCAAATTGCTTTTGACGCAACTGTCCAAAATTACTGCGCCTGCTCGGTCCCAATTTTTTATCTAATTCCGACGAAACAGAAAGGAAGCAAGGGAGTTTCCCATCGTTTGCTCCCCGATATGAGAAAATTTTTCATAAGGAGTCCGAACGCAGCTCTGCGTGTTCAATAATATGTCACCACGTGTGCTACATCGCGGAAGTTATTGTGAGGTTATTGAAGTGAAACCGCAGAGATTTTTTGGGGATTATTGGGAAGTTATTGCGGGAGTTAATGCAAAAAGTTATTGAAGTGAAATCGCGGAAGTTATTGGAGGGTTATTATGGAGGTTATTGCCGGGGGTTATTGAAGTGGAACCGCAGAGGTTATTGGTGGGTTATTGAGGAATTATTGTGGGGTTATTGAAGCAAAACCCCAGAGGTTATTGGGGAATTACTGGGAAGTTATTGCGGGGGTTAATGCAGTGTATTATTGAAGTGGAACCGTGGAAGTTATTGGGGAGGTTATTGATTAGGTTATTGTCGGGAGTTATTGAAGTAGAACCTCGGAAGTTATTGGGGTTATTGTGGGGGTTATTGGAGTTAATGCCCCAATAACCCCTCAATAACATCCGCGGTTCCACTTTGATATTTTTAAGTGAACCTGACATAACGCACATAGCGGCATATTATTGGAGTCTGAACGCATTGAGTACATACTTCGTATGTAAAATTTTCTCCTCCGATACAGTCACGCTAGGGTTGGCGAGGAAAATGGGTTGGAGAGAAAAGCAACGATGCGGCATACAGAGACTTTCGAAACCCTCGTATTTCTCATTTGCGATTAGAATCAGCATGAAAGGAAATGGTGGGGCCGCAACGAAGACCTTCGAACTCCCGTCTTTCTTTACTTCTGAGCTTGATAAAGCTACGGGATCGCTCAACACAAAAGCCCTCGTGACCTTTTTCCTGCATGAAGCGATACAGTACCAATTAGTGTTAATTGGGAAGGCACGACGGAATCGCAGCGGCATACAGAGAAACGAAATTCCCATCATTCTTCTCCTTTCGCAGGGTCTCATTTGAAACCATGGATGCATATGGAGAAAGCCCGAACTGCGATCCTTCTTCCTCACTTGTTCATGTGAAGCAAACGTCGGAAGCTTCGCCAATGCCTCAACACACTGTTACGATCGACGCCCGTTGGTGCAAGCCTTCCAAAGCCGCGGCCTCTCCCTGTTTGGCTTCCTCCCACGTGATCCTTGTTGCACCCCCATTCCCTGTACCGTGATATCCCTTCTCCTCTGTTCTGCCCTAGCACAGATTCCCTTGTTAATTGAGCATAGTGTGTCGCGATCCTCTTCGAGTTGCGATCCCGAGAACTTCCATTATCGTCGTTGTTGTCTTCCTCACTCCTGAAGCCTGTCGCAACCTAACTGCGCCTCTCCAACCCTCGATTCCTCTCTTCTTTGTGAAACTAATCTTGAATTGGTAATTTGAATTGATTACACAATTAGTGGCTTCATAATAGACATGAGTTGATTAGTGGAACAAACATAGAAGATATGATAATAGCATTAATTTTGAATTAAATATAGAAGATATGACAATATCATTAATTTTGAATTTGAATCTTAAATTCAAATTCAAAATTCAAATATGTGTAATCAATTCAAATAGGCGCGAATTGATGACACTTAATTCTTTTGCCTTTATTGTGTACGTTTCTTTTTTTTGTTTCAGTATGACTTAGTTAGTATAAATTGGGTGTTGTGTTGCATTGTGAAATACACTCCAGAGTTGTATCTTTTCACTCCTTCAAAAATAATAAAAAGAGAATTCTCAAAAGTCCAATCTCATTTTTTTTATTTGTCCTTTAGCGATCCATTAAATTGGAACCAACATTTAGTATCAGAGCCTAAACCGAAGGACATGTCGTCACCGAGCAGAGCTATCATAGGAGATATGGCAGTAACGAAGATCGGAAAAGAAGGGAACGTAACGCTTTCTTATCCATTACTCACAAAGAGTAACTACTCGGTGTGGGCGTTGAAGATGCGTGTGAACCTACAAGCTCAGAGAGTGTGGGAAGTTGTGGAGCAAGACGAGGTCGAAGAGCGTAAGAATAAAATGGCTCTCGCTGCCATCTATCAAGCGCTACCGGAGGAATTTCTTCTCATGGTGGCAGAGAAGGATTCCGCCAAGCTAGCATGGGAGACACTGAAGAGACGATGCACGACGATGCACGTCAGCGTGGAGCAAGTCAAGGAGGCGAAAGTGCAGACCTTAAAGACTCACTTCGAGGCAATCTGCATGAAGGACGGAGAGACGGTGGACGATTTCGCCATGAAATTAACATCCATTGTGATAGGCATCCGCTCATTGGGAGAGAAGATGGAGGAGATCTCCGCCGTTAAGAAGTTCCTTCGAGCTGTACCACAAAAATACATGCAGATCGTCACCACGATCGAGCAATTCGGTGACCTCAAAAACATGTCCGTCGAGGAGGTCGTCGGTCATCTCAAAGTCCACGAAGAGAGACTTCGCGGCTACGAAGACCAAGAAGAGGAGAAGCACTTCTTGCTCACGCATGCAGAATGGATGTCACAAATGAAGAAAAACGGAGAAGCCGATTTTTCTTCTGGATCGTCGGGGAGGGGCGGCG